TTGAAAACGAGAAAGATTTGATTGATAGATTATAGTTTAGATATATATAGTTTGTTTGGCATGTTTAATGGCATATAAACTCATTTAGTGGATCATTTAGTGCTGAATTTTAATTCGATTGGGAGCTTTGAAGTAATAAATATATGATGTTATTCTGCTTTCACAATGAAGTACATGGTAAAAGATTGTGTTATGGGGTCCTCCCCCTTTTCATATAAGTGGACTCGACCAGAGTTTTACCTGGACTGCTGCCGTTAAATACCCAGAGCTAGACAGTCAGTAAGAACACGGAGATAGTAAGAAGACCGAGATTGTGATTGAGTTGGAGGTAGAGTAATAGTGTGAGGTAAACGGTTGTAAAAGTCACTGTTACAAGCACGCCCGACTCTAAGGAAGTCCTACTTCGAGACTGTTTATATCTATATGTTATTGCTACTAACCGTGTTCCTGGATTTACTAACAGTATTACCCTTTGTATTATTGTGTAAATACATTTAATTTCTTATATTTAATTCCTGCGTTTGTCATTCATTGGAGACCGAATTTCATCTCGGAATCCACAACAGATTGTTTGTTTGTTGGTTTCTATAGCAGCATATTAACTCTTTATGGGTCAGTTAATGCCAAAATTTAATTTTTAAATTATTTTTCAAATTGTATCTCTGGTAATATTTCTTTTTTTCGAAAATGTAATCTTTCATTTTGGTGATAATTTTTTTACTATGAAAATTTATTTCAGATATTTTTACAATAAAAATGTATTTCTATAATTTCATTTTTTTTTTTAGCCCAGTCTTGAATTTAACAATTTTACCCATAGTTGGGACCCTAACAGATGCTACCATCTCATGTCAGGGTGAGAAAAGCAGCAATTAAAATGTGCTTCTACGTTCCTCAAAACTTTCCGATTAGACGCCTTGCTGGAGGATGGAGTTTATCGTCATGCCCAGAACGTTCACATATGTATAACATAAATGCATTGCTACTGGTTTTACAATAGAAATGTATTGAACATTGATATGAAAAGAACTGAGGTATGTTTTATTGTACGACCTGTGCAATTATAAGTATATTACAAATGTTTGGCAGGATTGTGTCTCTAGATCAATTTACGACTTAATGACTTCGACCTGACTGCTCGATAAAGTATCCGATTCACAGCTGTTAAAGCATTGCTAATATTTTCTAGAGAAATGCATCACAAATAATTTTACTTTATATTTCAAACTCTTGGGAGTTATTTTGCCATAGGGAGATCCATTAAAAATATGGGGGAAAAGATTAGCAGTGGTCAAGAATTAAGGCAATTATCTCTCTCTCACACAGAGACAGACAGACACACACACACATATATATATATATATATTGAAATCCTCTGATTCCTCAATCCAAGCCGGTATCTATTATTTCACCGTCAAACCTACGTGCTAATACCCTTGGGAAAGGTGTGAATCCTCTTCTTTTCCAGCTATGGGTAAATAGCAGGACAGACGGGGGTTCTTCTGCAACAGCAAAATCTTGCTGCTTCAAGAACCTGTGACTCTGACATGTTTGTTCTTTGAACATGGTTCCAGATGTAAGAATTTTTCAGGCCAGCATTGATTTCATCAGCTGGAGTTCTGCAATCTGGTAATATTTGTCTAAAATCACCAGAGACTAGACAGTGATAACTTCCATGATTTGAGTATTCTGTCTAATGTCTTTGAGTATTTTGTCAAGAGCCTCAAATGCTCGCTTGTGGTACATTCATTCCAGACAATGAAGTTTGTCTCCTTCAGTAGCTTGACCAATTTGGTTTCCTTTTTTGATGTTGCAAATAGTGGCTTAATTGTAGTTCAAATCCAATAGAAGTTTGAAGTGTGCTGTGTATTTTACGCCCTCCTGGCAAGAGAGTAGCAGCAATTACAGATGATGCTACTGCTAGAGTTACTTTTCTTTGGCGTCTCACTGCAGATAAATGAAGGTTAGTTATAAAAGTTTTACAAGTACCTCAAGTTGCATCGATGAAGAAAATCCTTTAATTGTTGTTGCTGCTGTCATTAAGAACGTTCTGATACACTTGCTGTTGGCTTGGGTTCAACAGACTCATTGTTTTGAACATATTGCCGCAGTACTTCAATGTTGTATACTATTTCTCTCAAAATATAAACGTGGACACTGAGGCCAGTACCGAGTGGCGACGGTCTGTTTTATGCTTGAACGCAATCGTTATGCCATGAGTGTTGGGTTTTGGTTCGACTATTTCTATATGCTTTTGTTTATGTCTCTATTCGTAGTTTGTCAATTTGTTTATTATTTACTTAATTTGTTTAATTACTTGTTTATACATTTTATTTAGTTCTTGTCTTGCGGCTTTGTTATCGTATTTGTTTAGTTTAAACTATTGTGTTTGTCTGAACTATGTTACATTATTATCGTTGTATATAATGCTTATATTTGCACTTTTTACGATGCTATCGTACAAGGTATAGGTGTTTAGTTATCGTTATTTAAGTAAAAATGTTGTTGATTTGTGAGGCATTCTCTATTTACATACGCTATATCCCTGATATTGAGAAATTTCAGGCTATATTTTTATCATATATATATATATATGTGTGTGTGTGTTTGCATTGATAAGTCCAGGGAAAAACTAGCATAGACGAAATGATCATCTGCATGAGGTAAATTGTTTGGATCTAATTAATTGTAATTCACTTATATGGGCTATAATATATATATATATATATATATATATATATATATATATATATATATATATATATATAAGCAAATGTAAATGGATATAGATCCGACAGAATGAAGAAAATTTGGAAAAACAACAAAAATCCTTAAATGCAATTATGTTCTTTAAAATGAATGAAATGTCGACGTCTGACGTTTCGGTTTAATAAACCTTTTTCAAGACAATATTCATTAAAAATACAATTCAGTTCAATTTTGGACATAAACAACAAGTCTTATCCAAAACAGATAAACCGAAACGTCAGACGTCGACATTTCATTCATTTTAAACAAATATAATTGCATTTAGGATTTTTGTTTGTTTTTTCCAAATTTTTTCTTCATATATATATATATATATATATATATATATATATATATATATATATATATATATATATATCTTGAACTCTCTCTTTTCAGTGTTAATATTTTATATTAATAGGGTTTGATTGCATTTTATACGGATTTTTGCGCCTGTTATATATATATATATATATATATATATATATATATATATATATATATATATATATGTGAGTGTATATATATATATATATATATATATATATATATATATATATGTGTGTGTGTGTGTATATAGAACATAATATAACAGAACAGGGTTTTATTAGAGATAAAATAATAATTGAGAAAAGGTAATTAAATTAAAGCTACAAATATAAATATGTATATCGAAAGTAAAGCCACTAAGATACAAGGGATTTCTGGGTGTGGAAGAATTAGAAACCGAAACATTAGTAAGGATCGAGATCAAAAAGAAAAGTAATCAGCAGGACAGTAGATAGAGATTGACATTGTTCTTAATTTTGGAAGATTAAAGTTGGCTGGAAAACATAGAGAAATGCGATAAAATTACAGCATAGAACACGGTAGCATCTAGCCAACGTTACTGTAAATTGATGAGATGGCTATCTGGTACTGCGCTTAAATTCAAAAAAATAGGTACCAAAGCGAAGAACTCCTCCGAACACTTCCATGAAAATATTGATAGAAAAGATACAGAGAGGCAATCTTACGCCGGTGAGAAAGTGAATGAAAAATGTCTTGCTCAACACAATGAAGTAACTTTCTTAGTAGTTGGCCTAGCAGTAGATTCAATTTTGTCTTTCCACTTCAGATCAGCCGACAACCTTTGCCCGAGAAGGCGCAACAAGTCATTTTCCAGGAGGTTAGCATCAGCGATGCTGATGGAATTCAGAAAGGGGTTGCTCAGATGATAAATGGAGAACTCTTTAGTCTTGGAGGCGCTAAAATTAACAAGCCCTCATTTGTACCAGTTAACAACAGACTGAACGTTGTTTTGGATATCAGCTGACAATTTGACTTTTAAAAAATTGCCAACTGTTGTTTCATGGCTCTCTTTTTCATCACGAACTCATAATACATCTTTAAAAATAATTTCTCCGTTAATAATACATTAATTTTAATTCAAATATTACTTGCCTTTAAATGGCGTCTTCAAGCTTACCAGGAGAATTGACTAGTAGGATCGTATGTCAGATGAAAGATTTGCTGTTTAATTGGATGTTAGTTTAATTATGGTGGATTTTCTTCAAATTATTATTGCACAATTTGCCCTAGAAAGTTTATCAAACTCTTAGATAGTTATTATAAGTGGGGAACAATCTACACAACTTATATTGCCTCATCTTTCTAATCAAACTGTCGGTTGACATTTCGGCCGTTGTACGCTTCGACCTTCTTCAAGTGACATTTGTTCTTGAATTTCGAACCGATCACATTATTTAGTCCATACAATGAATGTCCAACTTGAATAACAGGATCGATTGTTCTAATTCCACGTGCCATGCCTTTGGATATCTTAGTTTTAGTTAATTCCCCTTGATAAATCAACTCTCCAAGTTTTTGTTCTCTCTGCTGAAACCAGATTTGAACCTACAAGTATTTGTGTCAAGAAACTTAGATGTTCTGAATTTTTATTATAAGCAATGGTGAAGTAGAATATCCAGAAATAATGTTTTGTCTTTAGATATCAATTTGTAGTCGTTCATCGCTCTTACCATTAGACTGAAGCCGCAAGTGACTTTTACGCTGCTGTTGTTCATCTATCGATTTTGATTTGTTGCGACAACGCCTGGACGTGACGTCTGTGGGACAATTCAAATAATCATTTGTTATTAATTTAAGTCAACTTCAGATTTTCCTTTCTTTCTTATTTGAACTGTTAAAGAATGTTCTTTTCCAACCTATCCGCCTTTGAATCTGCAAGTCCATTTAAATCCATTTATTACAATGGAATCTTCGATTTTACACAGACAGAATAATATCTGAAAGAAATAAATAAAAGGCAGATAGATAGATAGATAGATAGATACAGTTACACAAACACACACAGAGAGCGAGAGAGAGAGAGAGAGAGAGGGAGAGAACGAACAAACGTTAAATATCGGGTTAGAATTTAAACACTGTCGATTTGGCGCATTTATCTTTGCTATCGTCAGAGACTAAAGAAGGTGAGGTCGAATACCTAAATCTTTATTTAGCGTTTAATTTACCATGCCACGGCTTCTTTTCTTCAATGCATTCGTTGTCACTGTGTTTCAAAGAATTTTCGAAGATTGATACGTCACCGCATGTGGGCCGAGTATCTGCCTCTTCAACGCTTCCGGACTTTATTGTTACGAAAATCAATAGAAGTGTCAGTTTTTCAGACACTCTCTTCTTCCTTTCTGTCTTAAATTTTTGTTGTTCTGGCGCGAAAGTCCGCATTGTATAATTACAATTATTATTAGGATCATACAAAAGTTGACAGCGCCGTCTTTTTTTTCAGTGTTATGGAAATCTCAGAAGTGTTTTTAATAATTACCCGGCATTTTATTGCTTGCACATCAGTCATTTAACACATTGAATTATTCACTACTTTCCTTTCTACTGCTTTATTTTCCAAGGCTCTTATATTGTGCTACTTAATTGCAGTCATGATTATTTTCTGTTGCAATAGTAGGATATGACAACACAACTGCCAAATTCAAACACGCTATATTTCATTCTTCTGGGTTACTTGCAACATAACATTTTTGCTTATCAAACAAAATCACCACCAGAATGGTTTAAAAGCATGTAATTCTGAAAGTAAGAAAATGAGATTCCATATGAAATTACGGAAAAGAATATTGACCGACCTTTAAACAATGGCGTTTCCCTTTAAGTTGTATGAGTATCTCAACCTGAAATGCATTTATTGGGGAAGAGATTTTCATTGTTTTGTGGGATTCAAATTATTACAGATCCCTGAAACTAAAACAGTGTTAATACACACAATTCTCATGAATTGCTGGTTTGTATGCGCGATAAATTATTTCCTGGAAAAGGAAGTCAAATTGTTTTTTTTGCTGTATTACAATAGACGTCTTGTAAATGCTCTGAAATTAGGGTGATATGTTTTGTAACTTTTAGCAGTTCCATGCCTGCCATATTTCGACTGTTATTTGTTTCACTATGTACAATACTCAATCGTTTTTCAGCAATTTCAACAATTTTAAATATCAAAATAATTCTTCGATTCTACACCAGGATCTTTCTTTTTGAATTTGACCTGAAAAGTGGGCTACGTTCATAAAAATCCTTTGAAAATTCTGTGAGGTTTGAATAATGATACATAAAATATCTTGTCGAACATTCTAACTAATATTTGTCACACATCTTCTTCTCTTCCTCCTCTTAATTATTCAAATTATTATCATCAGACTCATAATCGAGTGTGGTTGTAGAATTGTTGTACACCTGGTCATATCTCAGTTTTAAACCTGCTATATATGCATTCATGTATAACCTATCTTGGACAAGTAGACCCTGACTAAGATCATTTTTCTTCTGGTCAAATTTCGGCCAATGTACTCCAGCTTGGAGAGTTTTAGCTGATTTAAATATTTTAAAAAGGATTTTAAAAAATCTGACCTTGTCTTTTTATTACTATTAATATTAATTTTAGTGAGTACACGTGTCTGAGTTGTTTCCCCTGTTTTTTTTTATTTTTTAAACTTTGAAATTAATATCAATCCACAAAGAAATAAATTTCTAAAGAAACATGTGCCTCCTGGCGAGAATAGATACTTTATCTTTTTTTTCCATCTTGAAAACCACTCCTATAGCTGAAACGTGCTGTTACCAATTAGATATCAGGAGACCGTCATGGCTCAATTACCCATTTCAGAAATACCACCTTTCGTTGGGACTTCGTAGAATTTGTATCTGTTCATTTCATTTCCGTACCATCAGCACAGTATCGATATAGGCCGGTTTATATTAATTCCACTGTTTATGAAAAAACCCAAACGGAGATGTAAATTTAAGCACGTGTACTTAATAAAAATAACGTTTTTCAACACAACCAGAATTCTTAAAATAATTGTATAACTAGGATTAATTATAAATATTAAACGAATTAAAATACACTTTAAAATTTAATAATATAAATATTTTATAGAAAAGTTTTGGATTAATTCAGATGCAAACTGAGACAAATTTTCGATATTCATAAATAGTTCTTCCTGAAGCATTTAACAAGTTTTTGCCCCAAAATCTTTGAGATCTGGTATGAATCTAATGCTTTTTTCTTCCTATCTTTTTGGCAGTTCTATCCCATGGTGTCTGGTAAATACACTTCTAAAACAAAGCTTTTTTTTTTTATAAAGAACACTTAAGATAAACCAACTGTCAATAAGTTGTGAGATTGACAAGGAAATCCTTAAAATGTCCTTTTTATAGCTATTGATTGAAATAAGAGACCTGAGGTCGATAGTCTGCAAGGTTTAACATTATTCAATAAACTTGCAATGTTCCAACTATAAATTTAGTTCGGTCTTCATGGAGAGAAAATAAGTGACTCTTTCAGTCAACTTATTTAGTTAACTAGTTTTTCAATATATTAAAGACAATCGATGAACAGTTTGCTGTTATGATGCTGAGGTTGATTTCGAACCGTGCTTGATGTTCGATTTGACTGCAGCCAACGCTCTATTAATGATAGTCATGGACATTTGTAGCCTGAACATTATCGATCGTCTCCAACTTGTACTGGTAAGAAAACAGGAAAATATGATAAAGCCGGTCATTCAGTTCATGGACATTTAATGTAATGAGAGAAGCTGGAGTCCCACCGGATGGAAACATTGAAGTGTTACTTTGCAAACGTCGTTATTCGAATTCACCGAAGATGAAGTGTGGATCGGTGACTCGCGATACGGAACGGCGCTTTTAATGGCGTTAACGGTCGATAAAAAAAAAAGATATCCGAGGACAGCGAAAGTTACGCCCAACGATTGATAACGTTTCTCTCTTATATAGGTTGCGATGGTTAAATTTTCGCCATTTATATTTTTAATTTTGCGTATGTGCGCTGTTTGCTTTTGATTTTGTCAGTATAATATAGTAAGTTCAGCACCGTCTGTGATAAAAAGAGCACCATGACGCAATTCACTCCGCCAGAAATTGATTTTTTTAATCAAATCACCCCAAGCAAGGCAGGTGTGCCACTAACACGCAATGGGTTACAGCGAGTAAGAGTAGAGAGGAGTGTTTTGGAAAAGGATAAGGAGAAGGACATTGCTCAAGGTCAAGGAATCAGAAGATGTCGATTGACATTACATTTGAATATTTGAAGATTATAGCAACCAGGGAAGCAAGTGATAGGAAGGGAATTCCACTCACGGCGGTGCGAGATAATTTGTGAGATCTATACAGAAAAATAAAAACAGATATAGGGAAAAAAAATAAAATAAATTTCGGGATCAAATATCACCCAGCTGGAAGGTAGGGAATTCCGTTCATGGACTTATTTAATTAGCCGTGATATATATACATCCAATTAATAATCGATCATCGAGATACTGAGAGGTGTAATGTTTATGACAGTCGCAGTCAGAGATGTGCAAAAGTGCAGTTGGAGTTCACGTGAGCCGATGGGAACTGATCGATTCATTTGCTACGGCCTATCAACACGTTGCAGGTTATTTAAAGCCAGAAAATATTTTTAGATTCTGAGAATAGATTTTTGAATATAATAATGGTTTATTGATACAGATCTTAGAAGAAGTGGTTTCATATCTTTCCCAAGGTATTTATGCGTAAGTCAATATAACGTAGCTAACTTGAATTGGAACTCGGCTCTCCCTGGCCGAAGGGAGATCAGGTCAGTTTGTCGAAAGAAAAATGAGAAGTAGCAGCGAAGACGGTCCAAGTATCACTTCACCCGCCCCCAAAACAATGTCAAGTGAATTTGTGAATAAAGAACACAGTATAGAGAAAAAAAAAAAACAGTATATGCTTTCCTCTTCCAAACGGTGGTGATATTTCACTGTCAATTCCGTACATCAGTCCTTTCCCAGATTTAGTTCACATCATCAAAAGAAGCGAAATATACAATCACGTGAGGCAGAAGATGAGCAGTTGATTAAAACCTTTCTGGGGAAGCCGGCCATATCTTTACACTTTCGGTGTATTAATGTTTCACACTAATTGATAAGAAACATCGGAACATACCCCTGGAAGTTTAACATGATTAATTTCAGTTGTTATTTATCAATTAACAACAATTATGAAATGACTACTGAAATGATATTTAAATTAAAATACAGCGACTTAAACAATAAATAAGAATCCACTAATGATAACATACTAATAAAAATATATCGAATTAAGAATAAATTGCATTAAGATTTTAGAAATTGCTTGCTTTACGTTTTGGATACGAAACTAAGCAGATATATCTTTCGATAAACATCTGAACGAGTGAGAGGCAAAATAGATGTAGGTTCGAGTCCTGTTAAAGAGCATGCTTTCTTTTTTAATTTTTTTCGGGTAAGCAGTCTAGTAGCTGAAATGAATTCTGTTTAAAATAAACGGAACGTTTACTCAAATACAAGTATCCACTAAAAATAACATTTGAGGTAATAAAAATATGTATGATTAAAAAATAAAATCCTTGTTTACACATCAGAAAACTTTTCTGAACTGCAGAGGAAGCTTGTTAAAAAATAGTAGTTTGACCTTCCACCAATACATTGACAATGCACTTGCTTTTCTTCTCTTCCCCCCTTCTTCTTCTTCTTTCTTTATATCCTCCCCCTCCTTTCTATTACATTCAATGACGTGCGTTTGTTTATTTATTTTTGAAAATAATAATGTAGCGTTCTTTAGTTTTTAAAAAAATAAAAAAAAGCGTTCGGTAGACATTTGAAAAAAATCGTCGCAGGATACCGTTAGGTTGGAACCAAGGTAGCCGATTCAACTGGCCTCCTGATTTTTATTGTTAAAAGCTCTACATGTTATTTTTACTTTTTCACATGTTAGTTGAGAACTTTAAATGTACTGTTTGTACTGGTCTGATTCAACTCTGACCATTAACCATATATATATATATATATATATATATATATATATATATATATATATATATATATATATATATACAATCCAGTGACAACGTAAGTAATATATAAATTCT